TCCATGAGCCTGTTCTCAACCCTGGGGTGTACTGCGGGAGGAGAAGGCTGGACAGCACCCCCCAGAGGCAACCAGAAGGCCAGGGGCCTGGGAGGCGGACGGGATGCTCAGGCCCCCACAAGAGGTTACTCTGGCCGCTGGAGGCCATTCCTGGATGACCGGATGTGGCGGCTGGTTCCCAGGGGAACAGGAAGGAGGTGAAGGCGTGGGGGCGGCAGCACACAGCCGGGCGCAGTCCTGGTGGAGGCACACAGAAGCAAGGGGACTTGGGGTGCACAGACCACGTCCTGGCCCCGCAGCTCTGGCCGTGCTTGGCCCGAGGTGACCTCAAGCTGGGGAGTGGGCACAGCGTGGTGCCCACACGCCATGCTGGTCTCTGTCCGGGCCTCGGTGAACCCGAGTCCCCAGGCCCCAGCCTGCCTGCCCTGCCAGCCTGGGGCCTGCCCCGCTGCCATGCACGCCCAGCTGCCCTGTTCCAGCCTCTGGCCCGACGCCTAGCTCTGCATGCAGCCAGAGGGTTGAGGCCACTGAATGTGCACCCACTCCATCCCCCGAGACAGGGCCACTTCCCCAGTGGCAAGGCTTCTGTGCCAGTTGGGTACTGAGCGGCACAGCTCGCTGGGGGCTCCAGGCAGGGCCAGGGCACCAAGGCCAAGACTGGGGGCACCAAAGTGGTCCCTCCTCTCTCTTCTTACGGATTGGCAGTGCACGCTCCCTCCATCAACTCGGTCACTGAACACATATTCTGCCCGCCCCCCGATCACAGGAAACCGCTTGTCCTGCACCACCCTTGTAGCCCCTCACAGAGGTCACACAGAGGTACACAGTGATGTCACAGTGCTTGCCAAGCCTGGCTGCATGGAGGTGTGGGCGTGGGCGCCCCATGCTTGACACTGCTGTCCAGGGGCCATCCCGGGAGTGTCCCAGCGCCTTGGGAGCAGCGGCCGTATTTCCGGGCACATCCTGGAGGAAGCTGTTCCCACAGCCATGTGGTCACTGCCACCAATGGGGTTGCCAGCTTGGTCCAGGACACGCCCAGCCCACACCCCATCTCTGCTAACCCCGACTTTGAGCTGCACAAGGCGAGCTGAGGCTCCTGGACACAGTCAAGCTGCTAGTGTCAGGGCTGTGGCGGGAAAGGAAAAGGCTCAGAGGGAAACACAGATCAGAGGCCACGTGGGGGCGCTCTGTGCAGGCAGGGGGTTTTGTCGGGGTTGGGGGTAGGGTTGGGGTTGGGGGGGTCTTGCAGGAAGACGTTTTCGCTGGCGGGGGGTAGGTTGGGGTGAGAGGGGTCTGTGCAGGAAGGGGTTTTCGGGGGGGGCACTCTGTGTAGGATGGGAAGGGGTTTTCATGGGGGGCGCTCTGTGTAGGAAGGGGTTTTCATGGGGGCGCTCTGTGTAGGAAGGGGTTTTCATGGGGGCGCTCTGTGTTGGAAGAGGTTTTTATGGGGTCGCTCTGTGTAGGAAGAGGTTTTTATGGGGGGCGCTCTGTGTAGGAAGGGGTTTTCATGGGGCGCTCTGTGTAGGAAGGGGTTTTCACCAGGGCCATCTGATGGGTCCCTCTTTAAAATCTGGCTTTGACCACCACCTGCTAACATGGTTGAGTTCTGGAAGGACTGAAGAGCCGAGCCAATGCCACCTACGGGACTCTGAAAGGAGGCCAGGGGAAGCAGAGGGTCAGCTCGGAAGCCCGAGGGGAGGAGCTCCCCGGACGACTTGGAAGGTCTTAGAAATTCAAACAAGTGACTGGGAAGAAGCCTGAATGCCCGGGATTAGCACTGACTGTGTGCTCCAGAATTCTAGAGCTCCCTAATAATGACCCCAGCATCTGAGACACAGGCAACAGATGCTGGTAACCACAACAAGCAAAATAGTACTTTGAGCTGGGCACGGTGGCAGAAGCCTGTAATCCTAGCTCCTGGGAAGGCTGAGGCAGGAGGATCATGAGTTCAAGGCCCGCCTGGGGAACTTACCAAAATCCTGTCTCCAAATTAAAAAAAAAAAGGGCTCAGAATACAGCTCTAACAGATGGCTCCTGGGTTCAAGCTTCAGTACTACCAACACCAAAGAAAAAAAAAAGGGATGGTATCTTAGTGCTCCATGGGTTCAACTGTCAGTACCAAACATGGATACTAATTTCGTGAAAAACACCTAGAATCATCAGTGTACGTTATTCTGTGCAGCTACAGGAGGAGTAACCTTAATGGAACGGTTCTCTAGAGTCTACAGTACAAGGCCCCCGACCCCTCTCCAGAAAAGACGAAGGTAGAACGGGCTTCTTCTGTGCTCCTCTGGAAACGCTTTTACGTGGACATCTGAAGACATGAACAACGTAACATCAGTCTGTGCCCCGCTCTGCCCACTGATTCAAGCAGCATCAGGGAGACACCCACGCAGAGGTGGGTGCAGCCACTGACACTGGCTCAGGGACACACAGGGAGGGACCTGACCAGGCAGGCAAGGACTGCGACGGGACTGGGACAGCCTGAGGGGTCGGCAGGAGAGGCACTCCAGGGCCACGCAGGGGTGACATCCCTGCCACACACACATGCCCTTCGGAGACCAAGCTCCATGCTGACAGGATGGGACCCCAACCTTCAGTCCAGTCAGCAGCAGGGGTGTACACAGCCAGTGGGGTACAGGAGCCCATGTCCACTGCTCAGCGTCCTGCGGGGCCGGCACTCGGGCCCAGCACACCCTTGCCAGCTGCAAGCAGTGCTGAGAGCCTGCGACACTGACACCACTCTCTACCCCATGCCGTGGGCCAATTCACCCACTTGTGCAGATTTTTATTATTATTATTATTATTATTATTATTATTATTATTGTGGTACCAGGGATTGAACTCAGGACCTTGTGCTTTCCAGACAAGTGCTTATTCCACTGAGCTATCTTCTTGGTCCCACTTGTGCAGTTTATGAGCCTGAAAACACTATACTCAAGACAGTAATAAGCAATAAACATGTTTAAGCACTGCACATTCTTACAAGCCGAGAATTTTTCTTTCGTTTTTTTGTGCTGGTTTTGAGACGGGGTCTCGCTATGTAGTTCAGACTGGCCTTGAACTATGTAGCCCAAGGTGGCCTCAAGTTCACGCCGATCCTCCTGCTCTGCCTCTGCCTGTCAGGTACTAGGACCGCAAGCATGTGACACAGCATCCTGCTGGGAATTAACTTTTAAGAGTTTGGCGCAGTATCAGACACGTAAAAGCCCTGCAGAGGCTTGCATGACAGCTGAAGCCCGGAGGGATTCCTTGCAGGGACGCAGTTGGCAGGCACAGTGCCTGTGTGGCACGCGCAAGGCCCTGCGCCCCACTCCCAGCACCCCAGCACAAGGGTTACCAAGGCTGGGTGTGGTCAGGCGTGCCTGTAACCCCAGCACTTGGGGGGCTGAGGCAGCAGGATCGCTGCGCGGGCAAGGCCAGTCTGAGCCACAAGGTGAGTCTGGGACCAGCCTGAACTGAACGGTGAAACCTTGCCTCAAGAAGGTCCAGAAACTACTCTTGACTGACCAGGAGTAGCTTCAAGTCCGCCGCCGGGCCCCTCCTGGGCCGCACCCCAGCCTTTACGCTTCGAGACAGGGTCCTGCCAAGTCCATGTTGTCCAGGCTGGGCTTGAACCCCACACCCAGCTACAATTTTTTCTTTCTTGTTTTTTTTACTTTTATTATTTTTTAAGAGAATTTTAAAAAAAATTAGAAATGATACAGAATTTCATTAAACAAGTTGATAGAGACTCCACAATGGTTGTCATATTGTATACTGTTGTCTTCAAATTAGCTGTTCAGGGGGCTGGTGAGATGGCTCAGTGGTCTAAAGCACCTACTTAGAACAAGCTTAGCAAAGCACAGGGACCACGGTTCAATCCCCCAGCACCACATGCCAGCCCTGCCCCCTGTTGGGCTGAGCTGGCCACACACACACACATAAATAAATAAATAAATAAATAAAAACAAATTAGCTGTTCAGACTACCAGATATAAGCATGCAAAATTGGTCAAAAAAGGAATTAACAAAGAAAAAAAAATAAGCATTAATTGTTCCTTTCAATAGATCTACAGACTTTATTTTTTAATTTTCTTCTCTGTATTTAGGACAAGGGCTACAGGGTCTCACTACACAGATCGCACTCGCAGTGATCCCTGTTTTCAGCCTCCCAAGCGCTGGGATTCCAGGCACCACCACACGCTCAGTCTCAGTCGCCATCTCTGCGCACGCCGTGGGCAGGCAGGGGAGTGAACCCTGGCCGCTGCGCTCTGCCTAAGCAAGCGCATTAGTCGGGTGAGCTATCAGGCTGGCCCTACAAATTTTATTTTTGGGGAGATGGCTCAGTGGAATAAGTGCCTCCCTGGAAGCGCAAGGGCCTGAGTTCAATCCCCAGTTCCGCCAAATTTTGTTTTTAATGAACAAGGAAGAGACCATTGTCTTCATGGTGCCATAAGTAATTATTTATTTTCTTGGGGAAGGGAAAAGGTGGAGAAAGGTTAATTTCTCTGGAGGTGCAGTGCCTTGGCGTCGACAGAAAGCCCCGGAGGGCAAGGGCCATGTCTCCAGGGGCCGCGACTCCGGGCTTGGCCCGCATTCCGGGATCTGGGGGTCTTTCACAAGCCAGCGCTTAACATACAGAGCGGAGTATGTTAATATATTAGTTAATTTATAAACATTACATTTATAGATATTGTACAAAACAGCTCTGTGGTAATAAAAATTATTTCCGCAAGCAAGACAAAAACACGAATGACACATAATACAAAACGTCTCTTAATCAGCACGTGTTAGCTGGGGGGCCTTCCACCGAGCTCACACCGCGGCACCCTGCAAGCACCGTCCTGAGGCCCGGCCGCGCCTCTGCGGCCGGGCGGGTGTCGCGGCGCCAGGTGCGGCCAGGCTCCTCAAGGCTCCCGGAAGCAATGGGTCAGCACCGGCCGGCGCCAGGCTCCATCGGATCGCTGGGCTGCGTGCGGCAGGTGTGGTCTGCGTCTCCGGGGACCAAGAGCTCTGGGATGCCGTTGCTATGACAACGTCGCTGCGAGGATAATCCCAAGGATCACAAGCAAAATAATTACACAAATAATAATGAACATCATTTTCTGCAAGATAAAGAAAAACATGAATTTGCAATGTATCAAAGGGAAGAAATCTGCTGCGCCATTCTCTAACACCTAAGACTCGGGTTCCTGGGAAAGGCGGGCGCACGGCGAAGCGCGCGGGTGCGAGCACGCAGGCCGGATGCACCGCCGCGCACGGCGTGGCCCTGTGCTGCCCGC